GTTTTTTAAGGAGTGTATCATGTAACATTAATGCCTTGTTATGACAAAAAATTGGAGGCATCACGTCAAGATTTTTATGATGAGTTATTGAACAAACGAGATGTTGATTGTGTAATAACGCCAAGTAAGTAATCATGTTGATAAACTACGTAATTATTCGTTTTAAATAATTTTGTATTTCAGTTGAACTAGAACAAATGTTGCTCTCTGATAATATACACTTAAGTGAAGTGGAATCTCGGAATTTGGATGATATTTGGAAAAATTCAAAAACGGAAGAAAAAGTAAAATTATATTCGCAGCAGGGTTCGAATTCAGGAGGATATTCCAGTTTCATTTTTAAACAAGCTGCTAGAGATTTATTCAACATTGAAAATGCTGAACCTGTTTTCACAAATGTTCGGTAAAAATGATGAGAAAATCTTTTGGTAGAAAAAAAATTGTTTGAAAATCATTTAAACGAAATTTATTTTCTATAAAATTTAGAAATCCTGATTTCAAAGAAGCATCATTAACTGTGAATGATGAAGTAGTTTTACGTTTTGCTATAGCCAATGGATTTAAAAATATACAAAATATAATGCAAAAAATGAAACGTGGAAAAGTTCAATACGATTTCATAGAGATTATGGCTTGTCCATCAGGTTAGAATAGATCATATATATATATATATATATATATATATATTTATATATATATATATATATATATATATTTATTTATTTATATATTTCTATTAAAGGTTGCTTGAATGGAGGCGCTCAGAATAGACCGGCCGAAGGAGTACCTAATAAACAATATATTCAAAACTTAGAAGAAGTATATTCTACTTTACCAGTTTGTGATCCACATAATAATGAAAATTTAAATAAAATATATAAAGATAAAAATTCTGATAAAATTAAACACGATTTTCACACATCCTACAAAGCTGTTGAAAAATCTACAACAAGTTTATTAATTAAATGGTAGATGTTATAAATGAAATGATTCTCTTTGATTTGTAAGTTGAAATTTTAAATATATATATTAATATATAAATTTTATTTTATACATTAATATTTTTGAACAGACGTTTCGAGAAATGAAATCTAAATTAAGACAGGTAATAAAATATTCAATCAGAAATAGTGTAAACATAAATTAAATTATATTTTGTTAAATTAAATTTGCGATAATTTTTTAAATCATCGTACATTTCCTTTTCGAAACTCTGCCGTTCCTCCGTTTCGAAAGATTTTCAAACACTCCGCTTTGAAACTTTTTTTTATAAAAGTAAATTTTAAAAAAAAAATTATAACACTTCTTCATTAAAAAAGCTTATTAACTACACGATTTCGTGTAGATTGAATAATTTGTTTTTCCTAATAAAATAATTATTTCAATAACATAAACTAATTTATTATAAAGTAAATTATTACAGTATATTCATTAAGTACAAATCATTAGTAGTAAAATATGTTTATGGAGTGTATATATCTTGAACATGACAATTTATAACATATATTTAATTTAAATTTAACCTTTTTGACAAACCTAAACCTTCACAAACTGAATCAATAAATTCAATTTGCAAGATAAGATTATAATTTATATATTGAGAATTTTATATACATTTCATGTTAAAATATCACCATTTCAACACGATTATTTTAATGGCATCTATATATATTATTCATATTTAATCACCGACTTAATGTATTATTAGTATGACAAAAATCTGCATTGAAATATTTTTGCCTAAAATATATAGAGAAATCTGTTTGTAGAGATATGTTACAATTTTGGAATTTTCTGGGTATATATAGTACTACTTTTTGTTTATTGATGTATTAGTCTTACACCTAAATAATTATCTTTAAATTTTCTTCTTAACAAAAATACGTTGGTGGACATGAAAATATAATCAATGATTTAGATCAAGAGAGGCAAGAGTAAATTTAAATGTATTTGAAGACAAGCTCATGAACGTTTACAATTCAAATCAAATCACCAAATGATAATTATATTTGCGGTGATAATATTATATAAAACAATTTTGCGTTATTACTATGAATCTACGTTATTATGTCTTTGTTATATTTTTGTCTTAATCATGTTTTATTTCAATATTTGTTAGTTTGTACATTCCAGTCTTCTTCATCTCAAAAATTTGAGTTTCATATAGTACTATCACCTAGAGAACAATTTTCAATCGGCGGATTGATATATCTTGTAGCGTATCTTTATTGTAAAAATGGAAATGATTGATGTTTTCGATCTTGGCACTCAACAATGAAAGTTCACCGTTTTAATCCACAATACTATAACGTAAATAAATGATAGTTTCGTTCACTAAAAATCCGTAAAATGTACTATAATAAACTACCAATTTTAATAGTATGCAGAGGCGAAACGTAACGTTTATCCGTAAGGGGCGGAAGAAAAAAATTCGTTATTAGACAATTGATTGATCATTTTTATAAAGTATTCGATAATACTTATAAAATAATAAATTCACATTGTATTATTACAAATTGTGTAACCCTCGGAACGATACACCACCGATACTACGAATATCGAATCAATATTAACGCGTTAAATTAATTGTAATAAATCACAGTGTTAGTATAATAGCATTAACGAGTGTGTAAAATATCTTCATGCTTACAATAAGTACAACTTAAGCCTTAATTAAGCTAATTGGTTACTAATAAAATGTAAAAACGTAATTAACAAAGATGGCAGTAAAACTTATACTCTGTAAAAAAAGTCTTATATAGATAATTTATTATCAACAGCCTTCAGCATTTTGATTGTCGGGTAATAAAATATTTAAATCAGATTGCTGAAAAGGCTGAAATATGGGATTTTGTGTTAAATTATTATGTTCTGGATAATTAGCTAAATTATGTTTAATTTGTTCCTTAGTTTCACTGGTTTGTACGTTTTTATTTTTTGAATCAGGCCCTTTGTATTCTGTTGGCTTATCACAAGGTTTAAGACCATCAATATCATTTGACATCACAGTTCTCTTTTGAGAGGAATTTAAGTCATTATTTGACACACTAAGACGCTTTTTGGGTTTTCTCAACTGATCGCTGTTAAAATACTTTAGCGGTTCCCTTAACATTTTGTCACAGTCTTTTGTCTTGTTTAAATGCTCTTGACTATACTTAAATAATTTTTGCGAGCTTCTACCTAAATGATCTTGGCTTTGAAGGTTTGTCGGTGAGTTCTGATTGTGTCTGAAGTCTAAATTAGAACTACTACTGCTTTTCATTTTGATCGGCAGCGCCCTAATGGCACATTCGTCCAACTGCATTTGATTGAAAATTCCACCATCCACTTTTTTATTTCGTTTCGCTAATTCTTCAGCTACAATTGTTTGCACATTTTCATAAGTATTACAAGTGGATGTTATTGTTGCTGATTATTGACTTCGGAATTACTATTACTTTTTGGAACATTCATAATATTTACAGCTATATCGTTAGCATTAGTAGTACCATCACCCGATTTTTATTTTTACTTTCATCCTTAGTTTTCACTAACAAAGCAGTTCTCATAGGATGAACATTTTCTCTAAACCTAGCTCTTTTTGCTCCATCTTTGCTTATTCTGTCTAAGACCACTTTTGTATGGTCATTTTTGCACAGTTTTAAACTAAATTTGAATGGAGGCTTGTAAACAACTTGCAAACGCATTTTCTCTTTATCTTGTAAGTTTCCAATACTTTTGCATTTATCATTTCTATAAATTCCTAATCTGTTTTATTCGGGCTCCTATTAGTTAAATCAACTGGCGTAGACTTCGACTTGGGTAATACTGTTGGCTGTGGAGATTCTAGATTGCCTTTGCTAATTGGATCCCTTTGTTTTGACTTTTTGTTTGCTGTTTTGCCTGTCTGCACTATAATCTATAACTTCTTTCTTCTTTTGTTTTCTATCTTTACGTTTATTTTGAGAATGTTTCTTGGATTTACTTGAAACTACATTGGCGGCGGCATGCGGGATTGCTACTTCTGGTGCGCACTGCATCGGTTCATCAGAGGCAACAATTGGAGCAGATACCTTGTATTGAACAATAAAATAATGTTACTTCTGAACTGCAGAATATGGACCAGAACTACATAACATCTACACTACAACCATCCAACTGCAAACTAAATATAAGCACCAAACCATAAGCGTTTAAGCAAAATAAAGTAGGTACTACCTTTTCACACTTCATCATTGATTGGGTGTAATAAATAAAAAAAAAATGGATCACTAAATTTTGATAAAATCTTGCCGTAGCTAATATAACTTATAGCGCCGTTAAAAGACGATTAAATACAGTAATAAAAAATACAGATATACCTTATTTCAAAATAAAAATAATATCGACGACATTAATATCGTGAAAAGCATTATCTTCAACATGCAGCGAAATCAGACGCTAAATCCAATTAATAAATAAGCACGATAATTTTAATTCTACTGTCTAAAGTACTCACTCGTTTCTTCTTTCTTAACTTAGCAGGACTTTCAGATGCCGCTGCAAGATTTCTATTAACATTTTTAGAATTATCATTTGCAGATCTGTGATTAGCTTGTACCGTTGTCCTTGTTTTCGTGGCATTTTTAGATTTTTTGGATCGGAACTTTGCGTCACGAACACGTTTCTTTAGGGGAAGTTTGGATCGCACAGCAGTATGAACTATTACCTAAATAGTAAATATGAAAATAAGTTAATAAAACACAATCAGAGTATAAGCTACGTTGAAATTTTGATCTATAAAATACCTGTCCATTGTTGCTCAAGTCTGGAGGTATTATAATAGGATCATTGGGGCTTCCATGCATAATGGTTACTGACTTTAATTTTACGTCTGATTTTTTGCCTAAGAGTCTTGTGCTTATCACCTAGAAATTATGGATAATATTATGAAAAAAAAACAATAAACGTGAATGAGATATGAATACAATATTTTTTATGCTCACCAGCATAGCCAAAATAGCAGCAGCCAATAATGCAACGGCGTACCAATGTTTAGTAACCCATTGTTTGATTCCTGCTAGACTTCGTTCGGATAGCAGAAGTCTTCTTAAAGTTGCAAGGGGGCCTGATGGATCAACCAGTCTGCACACGTGGCTAGCATCACAATAACCTGAAAATTAATGAAAAATGATTAAAATTATAGCATACTATAAATCTAGAATGAACTCTTGAAAACTCTGAAAATAATAAGGGTGGAAAGAAACTTGTATTACTAGAATTTACACTAAAATTTATATCTCACCGTTATAGTCGTTACAAGGCGTGCCAGGTTTAACATGAGCATCCGGAACATCGTAAGGCGCCTCGTTTAAATGGAATGAGCTAACGCATAAGTCGCGTTCGCCATCGCCTTCGAAATCACCAAAAAGCAAATTGCTTGCGGAAGCCGGAATTCGGCAACATAATTCGCAAGATCTCGTAGCCGGATCATCATCTGTACGGGTGCATTGGCACGATTCCAAACCGTAAGCCAGGCAAATGGAGCCAGTGCATTCCTGGGAAAATCCATAAAATATTTCACAAAATTATAGAGACAGATAGAGCACAGTTGAGAATAGATTGGAATTGAAAATAAAATATAAAGACATCGGTATTTATTTATTTATTTATTCATAAGCAAGCCGTAATCAATAATAATAGATACTATTTCAGGCTCTTGTCAAGCTTATTCATAATTAATATTAAAAGGATAGTAATTTTATAATAATCATAGTAGATGCCCAAATTTCGCTTCTGAAAAAAAAAGAGCTGAAAAAAAGCATTCGAACATTCATCAAGTTCATCATATTAAAGTCTATTTGACCACCAGTCAAGCTCAAAATTCTTGCACAAGATTGAAAGTTATACTCATTTAAAACCGTAAAAAAATTAAATTAATAAAATAGCAATAAAATAATAAAAAAGATTAATAAAAAATAAAAATATGGTTGTACAGGCGATCAAATGGTCAGACTACATAGATAAAGGATAACGATTATGCAAGAAATAGTTATTGAAATCAAATTGAGAAAATTCAGTAATATCATAAAAATCTATTTTTTTTTAAAAATTTGACTAGGTAAGCATGAACTTTTTTGCTATCTAAGTTTCGGATATTGAGTGGAAGTTTATTCATAAGCTGAATTCCTAGACCGTCGATCGTATTGAAAGAGCTCTCTAATTTATATGTGCTCTAATTTATAAGTTTGTGTCTAGTGTTGTAATTTGAGGAGGACGAAGCCACATCAAAAAGTTTCGAATTGTTTTTGATGAAAGATAATGTTACCAGCAGAAAAATGCATGAAACAGTTAGAATATTGTGTTTTTTAAATATGGGTCTGCAGGAGGCTTTACTGGGCAAGAAAAAAATAAAAATATAGTATTCGAATAGCTCTTTTCTGAAGCTTATATATTTTAATTAGTTCGGATGAAAAACCCCAGAATTGGATGCAGTATGGAACGTGAGAGTAAAAGTTGCTATAATAAACTGATAGTAAGCAATTTAAACCGAGTTTGGGTTTTAGGGTGCGCAACATGAAACATGTTCTAGATAAAGTTGGTGATAGTGAAATAGAAATATGATCAGAACACTTTAAATTATTATTAATATGGATACCAAGAAACTTTGATACTTGTGAAAAATTATATGCAGAATTATTGATGGTTAAAGAAGTAATATTATTGGATAAACGATTTTTTGTACAAAAGATATGATTTGGGTCTTATCATTATTGAGGACTAGATTATTTACACAAAACCATTTCGTTATTTCTGACATAACCACACTTAATTTTCAATTGTTCATCGTACACAAATCAAGTATTTTAAGCATAAAAAGTAAAAAGTATCAGTAATCTTCTAGTTTCATCTTTACTATCTCAGCTTAATTTGAAATTTTCAAATTAAAATTTTCAATATAAATAGAAGAAAATTTGCATAATTTATATATTATTAATTCATATGTGTACTTACACCCATATAGCATACAGAGTCTTCGTTGCAAATTGTTTTGTTCGGTTTGTTAACAGACGGCGGACACAGAGCGCTGCTTCCGGCGCAATAACTAGCATCTCTACATCCGTTGTCGGAACGGCACCGGTCGCCGAAACGTAGCTGGCAGGCGGTTGTACAACAAGGCCCTTGAGAATAAAAAAAATATTAAAAAATTTATATTTTTACCTCCTACGACCTAGTTTATTATACATTTTCATCCATATGGTAGACCTTAACAAAAATTGTGTCACTGTGCGAAGTGGAGTGTTATTGGCAAACCCACTGTAGCACATTAAACTTTATATACATATATAATAATTACATATAAGAATTTTATTTACATGCATATTTCCACATATTTATAGGTACTAGACCGAATCTTTGAATGTAGTAAATCCCAATGAAAAAATGAACTTGGTAACTTTTATAAAAAAAGTAGTAAAATTTACAAAAAAGAAAGGAAAAGGTAGTGAAATAGATTTAGTGTCAAGTAAAAATTTCGATAGAATTAGAGGAAGACGCAATATTATTAGTAGAAATAAGAAAAAGATGAATTTTTTTAAAAACGCAGTAAACAGAATTGTGCAGGTGTGTCATTTTGGACAGGTGATATAAAGTTGATCTAATATAATTCATACTTTTAAATTTTATTTATCTCATTTCGTTCCAAATTTATGAATCTTTGATCATGTATAACAACTTTTGTAATTGCTAAATTGTTTAAATAGATATCTTGATTATTGTTACAAAATCACATCTGGGGTTGGTTAAAACAAAACTTTGGGTAGGTTTGTAACATATAAGAGTGATTCCCAAAGAGGTTCACATGGACCCCCAGGAAGAACTTATAGATACTAAATATAAAGGTTTAACAGACAATTTAACAAAGTGTAACATAGATATGGTTTATTTTATTTTTCCCGCATTTTTTTATTAAATAAATATTCGACAAGATACACTGATCTGGATCTCTTTCAGAAAATCTAAAACAAATTATTCTGAACGCATCAAATGTTAGTATTGAGCGCGGAGCCAGCCACACATCAACCTCGCATATCTCAAAAATTATTCTATGTTCCCACTTTAAATTTTTGTCAAATATTTAGTAAAGAGTAGTAACAATGTATGTCAAGTTTCATCAAAATCGAATTATGCATTTTTGAAAACGTACAATCTGTTTCAATACTAGTATTGAGAGCGGAGCCAGCCACCCATCAACCTCGCATATCTCAAAAATTATTTTATGTTCCAACTTTAAATTTTTGTCAGATATTTAGTGAAGTGTAGTAACAATGTATGTCAAGTTTCATCAAAAACGAATTATGCATTTTTGAAAACGTACAAAATGAATTTATTTATTTATTTATTTATTTATTTATTTATTTATTCATAAGCAAGCCGTAATCAATAATAATAGATATTATTTCAGGCTCTTGTCAAGCTTATTCATAGTTAATATTAAAAGGATAGTAATTTCATAATAATCATAGTAGCTGCACAAATTTCGCTTCTGAAAAAAAAAGAGCTGAAAAAAAAGCATTCGAACATTAAATACAACGTTCATCATCAAGTTCATCATATTGAAGTCTATTTGACCACCAGTCAAGCTCAAAATTCTTGCACAAGTTTGAAAGTTATACTCATTAAAAACCGTAAAAAATTTAAATTAATAAAATAGCAATAAAAAATTAAAAATATATATGGTTGTACAGGCGATCAAATGGTCAGACTACATAGATAAAGGATAAGGATTATGCAAGAAAATAGTTATTGAAATCAAATTGAGAAAATTCAGTAATGTCATAAAAAGCTAAGTCTTTAAAAAGTTTAACTAGGGAAGCATGAAATTTTTTGCTGTCTAGGTTTCGGATATTGAGTGGAAGTTTATTCATAAGCTGAATACCTAGACCGTCGATCGAATTGAAAGAGCTGGCTAATTTATATGTGTGCGCCTTAATAAGTTTGTGTCTAGTGTTGTAATTTGAGGACGAAGACATATCAAAAAGTTTCGAATTGTTTTTGATGAAAGTTAATGTTACCAGCAGAAAAATGCATGGGACAGTTAGAATATTGTATTTTTTAAATATGGGTCTGCAGGAGGCTTTACTAGGCAAGGAAAAAATTATTCGAATAGCTCTTTTCTGAAGCTTAAATATTTTAATTAGTTCGGATGAAAAACCCCAGAATTGAATGCCGTATGAAACGTGAGAATAAAAGTTGCTATAATAAACTGAAAGTAAGCAATTTAAACCAAGTTTGGGTTTTAGGGTGCGCAACATGAAACATGTTCTAGATAAAGTTGGTGATAGTGAGATAGAGATATGATCAGACCACTTTAAATTATTATTAATATGGATACCAAGAAATTTTGATACTTGCGAAAAATTATATGCTGAATTATTGATAGTTAAAGAAGTAATATTATTGGATAAACGATTTTTTGTACAAAAAGATATGATTTGGGTCTTATCATTATTGAGGACTAGATTATTTTCACAAAACCATTTCGTTATTTCTGACATAACCACGCTTAATTTATGTTGTAATTCATTAAGAGATTTGGCCTTGATGATAACGCTGGTATCATCCGCAAAAAGAATAAAATCACAAAGATTTGTACAATGAGGTAAATCATTAATATATATGAGAAATAAGAGAGGCCCTAAAATTGATCCTTGGGGCACTCCCAATGTACTTGTCAATTTATCCGAAATTATTTGCTCGTGATCGTTATTTAAGTAAACGCTTTGTGTTCGATTAGACAGGTAAGATTCAAATAGTTTGAGCGAACGTCCGCGAATACCACAATTTTCTAATTTGTCAAGAAGTCTTTGATGAGAAATACTATCAAAAGCTTTGGACAGATCGCAAAATATCGCAGTACAATATGTGGCTTCTTCGAAGGAGTCAATGATGTTATGAACTAAATTATAAATTGAGTGGGAAGTGGAATGGTTCTTTCGGAAACCATGCTGATTCTTGAACAAAATATTATATTTATTGAGAAAAGACGTTAATCTAGTATGCAAGATTTTTTCAATTATTTTATCGAAAGAGTTCAATTAAATAAAATAATGCAGAAAACGAAATGTATGAAAAGGTGTAGGTGGCTAAATGCTCCAAGTAAGCGAAGCCAATAAAAATTAAAAAAAAAAGAAATCAAATATATTCACTTCTACGATTTTACAACAATAACAAAAATATAATGTTAAATTATACTAAATACTAAATTATACTAAATCCATATATGCTCACATGATCAAGTCAAATACAAGTATGTTTGTCTTAGCAAAATTTATTAAGAGAAATAGTACAACTCCAGGTTTTTAATTTTTGATAGTGAAGAATATATATATATATATATATATATATATATATATATATATATATATATCTTCTTACCTTGTGACGGACTGCAAACGGCTCGTGCAGTAAGCGTGCAGGGCGTTTCATCTGGTGGAGGTGTCCTGCGCCTTTGAGGATGACAACAGGAGTCCCTGCAGTCTTCTTCCCAACCACAATCACATTCTTCACCAGGTTCAACCACTCCATTGCCACATATCGAATTTTGAGGTTCTGGGTAAGAAAAAAAAACAAATTATATATAAAGAAATCTGAATTGGCTTTACTACAAAAGTATTAAATTACCATTCAAATTAATGGGTTTAGATACAAAATTTTCTGCAAGATATTATTTAGAGGTTTAACTGATTCCAATGTTTTCATAAAGGATTATCTTTAACCTATTATCTATCAAATTTCATTAGACTATTATCTATCACATTATCAATCAGAACCAAGCTTAAGTAATTAGGAAAATTTTATCATTATCAATATTCTATTAAATTTTACAGACTATTTAGGAAGCAATACAAGCCTAATCCATTCAAGAGAATAAAGTTTGCATTCTAAAGAATAGACAAGAATAGTTAAACAAAGAATTGAGTACATATAACAGAACTTTTATTATGGGAAATAATATTTATAGCTTTTAATTAATTTTTTATTAAGGAAGCAAGAATCAGATATCATGGCTTATGTTATTAACGGTAGAACAAGAACAGAATATTAGTTATTGTTAATAATTAACATTAGGTGGTGTGTAAGAAGTAATTCTAATTAAAATTAGATTTCATATTTTTTGGGCAATTGTAAAAAGAAGTTGTGCGATACATGTTCTCATAAAATGGAAAGATACTAACTAATTTGCAACAAATAGCTGACAATATCACAAACCTGTAGTATCAATCAAATTAATATTTGGCTCATCTCGTGCTTGATCATAGTTTTTTTTAAATGTCATTTGCAAGAAATAGCTGACTTATTATTATGATATCAAATCCTGAACATCAAATTTCAATTTTGTTTTCATATAAATTTTGAATAGGACTGTAAAAATGCAAGAAATTTTAATGCGCTACAACATCACAAACCTGTAGTATCTATCAAATTAATATTTGACTCAATTTTCATTTTATGTTCGCAAGTTTACAGTTTGTATCTAAACATTTACGATATGTTACATAAATGTTTACCATCCGTAAAACGACATAAAGTGGATCTATTTTATTTTATTAAAGCATATCCCAAGTTACGGTATATTCCTAACGAGACAATATATGAAATAGAGTTTATAGCTTAGATGAACTATTACGAGCTTGTGATTGTTGTAAAATCTACGACATATTTATTACCTGTAAAGCATCCTTTTGTGGAACGTGCTTTTGTGTTCAGCACAGGGTCAATGGACCTCAGGGAACACGACGAAAAGCGATCGTTGTTTGCTTTGTCGCCGGATGTTGCGCGGGCGAACATTATGTAGTTGCCGTCGGGTCCGCCTGGAGCACATTGTTCTGGGTCATGCTGGAAATAGAAGACGGTAGAAGCACTTTAATAAACTGATCGAAAATATTTGGTTCTATTGTTTTAGTAATAGACACAGATATACTTGGTACAAAAATATCTGCAAATTATGGTTAGGGGGCGTCCATTAGTCATGTGATCGATTTTTCAGGAATTTTGGGACCACCCCTTGGTTAATTAAAAATTATCCCCCCTCCCCCACCAAACATCATGTGTATTTTTAGTTATGCAAAATTTTCGGAACAATTTTTTCGAATCCACGAAAAAATTTTAATTTTTTTAATTTTTTTTTTTTGAAAATTCAGGTAAAAAATGAATACACGTTATATCTTACTAGACCCCTCCCTTCCCCACCTGATATTCTGTAACTTTTTATCAAACCCACCCTGCTCTTAAACGCCTCACGTGATGAATGCACGTCCTTTTATGTGATATACAGGGTGTGCAAGAACTCAACGTCAACCCGGGGAGACAGTATTGATTGTAACTATCATGAACAAAATCAGAACCAATGCATTTTGAGAAATATTAGCAATTAGTGGTAAATATATAATAGTAAATCCTAGAGCTTTGTTCAAATTCTAAACATTTTTCGGTTATTGTTGTTAATTTCTATTTATTTGGTACCGTTTTATATCCGTAACCTTAAATAACATTTCTAGAACCACACTCCAAAATAATGACACAATTGACCCAAGATTTCTAGTATTAACAAATTTCACTCACAAGCAGTACGGCAATCTTTTAATCATATGAGGCGTCCATTAATCACGTGATCGATTTTTTAAGGATTTTTGGAGCCTCTCCTCCGCCTTGATAATACGTGGTAATATTTAAATTAACCCCCATTTCCCCACCTAACATCACGTGTATTTTTAGAAACGAGAAAAAATTATAATATTTTTATTTTTTTTTTGAAAGTGTTTGATTTTTTTTTGAAAAAACAAGTAAAAAATAAATACACGTGATATCTTACAATACTCCTCCATCCCCCACGTGATATTTCCTGATTTTTTGTCAAAACCCTCCACTGGAGCTCTGACATACCTAGATTCAGATTCAGATTCAGAAATTAATTATATATATGATCATTTACCGGTGATCCAAAATTATGTCCAATCTCATGTGCCAATGTCACGTGTGAAACCGAAGGTGGTACGTGCTTGCCATAATTCAACAACGTAACAATTCCAGTATTCAAAGATTTCATACTGCCACGATAGTGCTAAAATAAAAATTATCACATAAGGATCTATTTACAAATATTCTCACTTAAATAAAAATATTTTTTTATTTACTGACCCCATTTTTTTCACAAACTCCACCTGCGTTCTTAAGATCACCTGTCCATGCTAGTCCTAAGGTGCCCATCTCAAAATCTCGATAAGTGAACATGTACGCCAAACAAAACGAATCGTAATCTTCCTCTATAGAAAATAAAAAAAATCAATATAATATTTATTAAAATCATTTGGGTATTTTTCTAGTATTTAATGATGTACCTGAAAATAGTTCTAGATATTTTTCAACGCCATAGTTGTCAGCAAATCGGTACGTAGGATCTTTCAAAGACTCGTGAGTATGCACTTTAATTCTTTTTATCATGAACGTAATATTATCTGGCTTGCCATCCTGGTTGAAATCTGATATAAAGTAAATAAATCCACGATTAATATAGTATCAAAATAATATAAAAAATATTTGTAAGATCATAAAAAGTTTGAAGAAATGCTCAAACCTGTGGTTCTATATATTTGATTAACTCTCTGAACATGTCGTGTCATAATATCTATGCAGGCTTCTTCTGTTTGAAATTTTTCTAAAAATTTATGATCGGCCTGGAAATTTTGAAAAATAAATATATGAATAATTATGTTTTTTATGAAGCAATATATATTACCAAATATAATTTACCTGTAGATACAGCATACATGTAGTCTTGTTTGGATCAAATGTTGCCCTTTTACTTGCTTGTCTATAATCCATAAAATCACTGGGAAAAAACTTTCCTACAAGAGTAGCTGTGGGCCTTTTATTAACTAAAAATAAGATAAAACTTATTTATTAACATAATTTGTATTTAATAAATTATGATATTGATTTTTTTAATTCCATAAAACTTTGGACAGACTTTAGTCCCAAAATTCTGTTTCTTCCTCGAATTTTTATTTTGCAAATACGTAAGTAAAGAGATTTCACAATCAGGTCGATTAATCATCGTAATAACAAGTATTGACATAAGTAATTTATAATGTGAACGAACTCTAAATCAAATAATCTCGAAGATATTTACCTATGTTATTTTTAGTAATAATCTCCACATGATCTGGCCGTTTGGGATTTTGCTTATCAACTTTATCATCATATATTTTCGCATTTGCCTTGTCGTCAACGTTTTCGTCAATGTTTCGTGTGTAAGGAACATCTAAATCCAATGGCAATTCTGGGTTCAATAACTTTTTTTCCTGTTCATCTTCTTGGTAATCATCATGCTGCAAAGATAAAAATGACTGGTGAATTCCCAAAGTAAAAAGTCATCAAAACAAATATGTTTTTTATTTATTGTAATTTGTGAACTAAGAAGATTTGAATGCGTAGGATAATATAAAGAAACTAGCTGACCCGGCAAACGTTGTTTTGCTAAGTAAGGTATATTCTAAACAATTTCTAGAGAATCAAAAATATTTCAAACGAACGATTAGCTGACTACGTTCAGTAAAACTACAGACTTCGTCATTTTAAAAATGTGCTTTTTTTGCTGTCTTTCAAAAATTTGTTATCTAGACCTTTTTACCCTATAGGCGGGGTAACTTGGAACGGCCAGATGGCAAACAGGTTTAATGTCTTATTTTAATTTTAAAGGTATTTTACAAAATAATTACATTTTTAACTAATGCTAAAAAGCTACCAACAGAAGAAAATACTTTTACTATGGATTTTCAAAGATGACCGTTTATCTCCCAATATCAAAGTCATAAGAATCAAGGTTATAGCTGGTTATACATCTTTCTCCCTTCACTTTCAAATAATGTTGTTAAACAATGCTTCAGCTTTACTGGATTTTGACACTTTGGTCGTGAAACTTTTAACCCCGTACCTTCATATATTACTAACCATTCTTTGATGAATTCTGGGAAATTATAACTGGGAATAAGTTATTCGACAAAATGTACATGTAAATGTAAGTAATGCTCTTTTTCAGTCTTGGTCGCGGCATTATTATTAAACTTCACTTCACCTTATATATATATATATATATATATATATATATATATATATATATATATATATAGTCTTGGTCGCGGCATTATTATTAAACTTCACTTCACCTTATATATATATATATATATATATATATATATATAGTATCATAGATTGAATAAACTACATGGATAGTTTATAAATAATTAATTCTGAATTAGAATGAAAAACGGGCTCTAAACTACCTCTCTGCCACCAATTACTGAGCCACAGCAACGCGTGGCCGGGCTAGCTAGTATTTTTTTATATATATAAATATACTATCAATTAAACTGAAAATCGGGATAAAAAGTATCCTAAGTCCTTCTCCTGGCTCTAAACTACCTCCCTGCCAATTTTCATCTAAATCGGTTCACCCGTTCGTGAGTTATAAGTGTTAGCACATAAAGCGATCCTCTTTTATATATATAGATATTATTTTAAAATATTTGGACTTTACAAGATATATTCTATAATTTCTTTCAAGCTTGGTGAGATCTTAAAAACCTCATGAAATTTGCTTCTCGCTAAATAAAAGTTATAGATCCATTAACTAATTTTCTAAGAAATGATGTCATCCACCAAGATTCTGAAAACCAGTATATAAATTCATACCTGTGTGGAAATATAATGTATGTCATCAGGTAACCATCGTTTTTTTCTGCTGGTGTGTTTTTCTGTTTCTTTATATTGGTGAAAATTACTAGGAAGATTCTGCGATAAAAATTAAATTATTATAATAAAAAATATTCATGATTATATATTGTGGTGGATAAATTCTTTTACCTTTTGATTCAGTCTCTTTTGGTGTAAAATTTCGGAAGCACATACATGGCCCTTTTCAGTCCTTGGAAGTCTAACATCTGTACTCCTATAAACCGCGCTGTGAAATCTTGATTCGGCAATATCTGAAAATTACAGTTTAAGAAATCGGTAATTTTGTTAGATTTAGGCATTGCATAATGTTTTATGTTTGTGAACCGAAAGTAGCTAAACAATATTAATATAAAATCATATTTTTGCGAAACATACCGAGTGCATTCAGGCCATGTGAACTGTTGAGATATCTGTGTACTGGCTCTATATAAAATATCTCACCGGAAGACAATAAGATCGTGCCGTCGAATAGCCCATCTGATGTTACCAAACCATGAACAACTGCGTTTTCGTCATCTGAAATGGATTATATATAGTTAGAAGAATTGTGGAGAATGTAATTCGTTAATATATCATAAGGCATTTTACTAAAAAAACTAAAACTCAACATGAAACTATATATATATATATATATATATATATATATATATATATATATGGCTTAAGTGTGCCAAGTTCCTTAGGACATCAGCTAAAAGCAAAATATTTATAAAATCTTTAATTTTTTTAAACATTTTGATATACAATCTTATGACATATTCAGTCCATTGGACTCCGTCCAAATTCGTCCATTCTTGTAACATAATATTCATTCAATAATTATTAATTTAAATTGGCAAGATTAACTTTAAATTGGAGGTTTATTAACTTCCCGTAGAGTAAGTTTTAGTAATCGCAAAAAAATCGAAAATGAAAATTTTTATATCTTTTCACATTTCAGGTTTCAGAACATTTTGGCATACCTTAGAAAAAAATGGATGTATGTGTGTGTATGTGTATGTGTGCGTGTGTATGTGTGTGTGCGGATACATATTTTCGTCGACGA